CCCTCATTTCCTCTGTGATGATCGCTGCTGTCACGATTTCACCCCCTGTCAAAGTCGAGGGGAGTTCATGCCAAAGTTCAGGCAGAATAATAATGTAGTTATTGCTCAAATCGGAAGATTAACCCGAGTGTGAACAGCTGTTTCTTCTTTCTGCTGCTCCACATGGCGGAAGTGAGCCAACCCGTTGTTAGGTAAACAACTCTCTCTGCAGGTTACTTTCATTTTGACTTTCTCACATGCATCCAGTGCCTTTTTATATACAGTCTATGCTTACAACAAAGCAATACGCTTAGCAAGGAGAGAATATTTCTCTACAATTATCACATGAAATGGGAGAAATGCTAAGGTGTTATTTTCCACCATTGATCAGCTGCTAAACAAAGCCCCCTCCCCACCAGAGTCTTCCAATGAAAAGTGTGAAGAACTTGCAGTATTTTTTTCCACAAACAAAAATAACGTCACCCAGAACGAGTAGACGTTAATGGTGTAAACACAGATGATCCCATTAGACCAGCTGATGTTACCATGGGAAGTTTCACATGCATCACACTGGGAGATCTCTGCAGGACTGTTACTGAGTGTAACTCATCCACTTCATGCGTTGAACAGGTGTTGTGTCAAATTAGTACCCCCGTCGTGAAATGCACCCCTTGACACGGGAACACGCATTTGAACCATGATTTGAACGTATAGTCCGCTTTTCTATGTTGTCCTTTTGATGGTTGGGTCGACGAATCCTGGATTTTGCATTCATTCGTCACTTATTTTTCAGTTGTGCTTTACAATGTATTGTTTATTTTTACATCAAGTGCTTGAGGGTGGGATTAATAGAATCTTTTTTATTTTGGGGGGTGCTTTTTATGAACCTGGTTGCCACGATATGCACCCCTTGCTATCTCTGACAATACACGTGTCACATACATGGAACTTGCTCCATTTATTGGTACAAGTCCAACAACTATACCCTCCAAAGTGCTTGAGGGTGGGATTAATAGAAGCATCTTTTTTTGGGGGGCGCTTTTTACGGCAGTCCAGGGGGTGCATTTCACGACGGGGGTGCATAATTTGACACAACACCGGGCCCAATTTAACCCCTGTGAGGGACTACAGTTATAATTCTATTCACTTTAATATAAGTTAGCTGGATAAAAGCGCGCCTGTGTGAATGTTCACATCAGGGTGAACTTCTGGGGCTGACCTTCGTCCACTTTTGTTCTTGGCTTTGTAGCAGTAGATTCCCAGCACAGTGGCAAAAACAGCAGACACCAGGACAGCCAGGATCCCGGCCACCAGCCCTGACACATCCACTCTAGGAGCATTCGCTGCAAAGACAAACAACACTAACATCACACCATTGCTTCATATTAACCTCTCATACCATCAGTCAGCTCTGAGCTAGGGAATGAGAATGTGATGTCATCAACGTGAACTCGTCCATCTTTGGAGGATAGTGGCGACCTGTCTCCTGAACCTGTACAGCGAGCGGAGTGGCCATAACTTTTCACAACGTTTTAAACATGGTCAGTAAGTTATGTTGTGTCTCAGGCTTTAACAGCCACTCCTATGACCTAAGAACAAAACAAAGACCATGGGATTGCATTTTATTCTTCTAAACTAACAGGGAGACGAGGGAGACGTAGAAACCTCAGCAAGAGACGCTGAATGTGTTGAACTAGAGGACCACAAATCACTACACTGGGAACGTGATTTAAAACAGTCGCAGTATGACATAAGTTATGCATGATAAACTGACGTTTTGTTAGCATAGCATCAGCTGTCTTACCTCTGTCCGGATGACAAAATAGTTGTCATTAAACCTGTATTTGTGAATGTCCTGTACACCGCCATTTGTGAACTTGACATTGGCCATCAAATCTTTTATTTGTTTGAATTACCTAAGTAATAGACACTTACTCTAAACACCAGAGAGGACCGACATCAGAGACACTGATCAGTTCATGCTTCTCTTAATTCATACGGACATGTGTTATTCATTAACCCCTTTTTTGTGGTTATTTTTCTTTACTTGCTTGTAACGCGCTTTGAACATAAGGAAAAGCACTTTATAAATAACATGTATTATTATTATTATTATTATTATAAAAAATAAATGTATATAACGCTCACTGTGTTCCTGCCCAGAGCTTCTCTTTGTAATGGCATATATATTTTGAGCATACTATTCATTTTGATGCAAACTGCTGACAGATCCCGGGAACACTGATATTGACGGCTGCTGCTGTTGATAGACACTATCCTCCAAAGATAGCCTTGATGCCCCCAGCGGCCCCCATTCCCTATTGAAGTAGTTTGTTCCCTTTGTTCCCGATTCGTACAAAAGTATTTTAGGTGAAGAACCAAACCAATCACTTCCTGAAACAATCTGTCTATTCCTCGATTCAGTTGGGAGTGAGTGGTCATTTGCAAACTATATCTTATCCGACTAAATTCAGAGCTCATTGGTTCAGAGCTGATGGGAACGTGTGGCAGTGTTGGTGTTCAGTTAGTGGGACACTGTAGAAGAAGCACCTAGCATTAATATCATTCACAGCTTGTCATGATCTGTCTGTGTTTTATTTTGTATTGTCAAGATCTGTCTTTGTTTTCCCGTTTTACTTTGAAAGGTGTTCAGCCCCTGTCTCATGTCTGCATTTGCTTCCTCTCTGTGTTTCCCCTCCTGTCTGATTGTGTTCACCTGTTGCCAATCTGACTAATATAACATTAGCGTTAAGAAAGCTTACTTAAATATCTGCCACAACATAAGTAACCGGATCAAAGTAACATTAAGTACAGTCAGCGGCACTGTGAGTGCAGACGTCGATGTGTCCCATTATCATTCATATCATATCACATCATAATGTATCATATATTTCCTTATCTGAGTCAGCTTCTTGAGCACACTCACAACG